CCGCTGCCTTGAGACCGCCGAATGCCTGCCTGGACACCGCCGCAAGCCGCCGTCCTCGTCCCCGCCGGCCGTCCTCGTCCCCGCTGCTCTACTATGGCCTCCGGTTCTCTCCCCTTCTCCCGACCGCAGCAATTGCCGCCCTCAGGGAATCTGCCGCTCCAGGCAAACGACTTGTTTGCCTCGCGGCAGATAAATGCCAGGTCTCTTCTGGCATTAAAGCAGGATAGGGGTAGTTCCACAGACAAGATGGGGAAAGGGCACACGGTCTACAGGTAAAACTGGGTACCCTTTTGGACATTCTAGTTATACATGAAGTCAATCTTTCCACCACACTACTGCATTTTATTGTCCCAGAGTTCTCTGCACAACACTGCAGACAGTGATTGGAGGAGAGGCCAGTCGCATGATTGACAGGTTCCATATCCAGGTCCTACTTTTTTCCATTAATTCATTGAATTGCACTCTACATGCTTTGGAGTCTTAAAGAAAGCAAAGCATAATGCACATTTGCAAAGCACAGAGCTGTGCATTACAAATGTAATGGGATTTAATTTTGTTAGCATTGGTATGGCCATGGTAAGACCATACTACCACTTTAGAAACGTGGCCCATAGCATGCATATCAGGAGTTCTGACTTCATGTTCGTTCTGGATCAGTGACTGAAATCACTGAATCAGCATGACTTTCAAGTAACCAGTATTTTCAGGAAGTGTTCAGCAATGCCACCCAACATTCATTTCAAATCAGGTCTCCTTTAATGTCAGACCAATGTTTGTATGTTACACACACTGGCAAAAATGAACATTTTTTTAATACGACATTTAACCAGTTGCCTTCCGCCCGTTGAAAAAAAACGGATGGACGGCACTGCTGCATTAGCGGGTTGCCGTCTCCAGACAGCATTTTTTTTTCTGCTTGTGCGCGCCCCCTAGCGCACGCACGGGCAGAAAAAACACGTGCAATGCATAGAGCCGTTACTGGCTGTTTAACATATACCCGATTGGCGGCTCTATAGCCAGGCGATCATGTACAGTAATACCTTGGTTTACAAGTAACTTGGTTTGAGAGTGTTTTGCAAGACAAGCAAACATTTCTGAAAAATGTTGCCTTGATATACAAGCAAATGTCTTGCAATAAGAGCAAAATTTTGTAGAAAAGCGCCACCCGAATAAGGCTGTAGCAGTGCGAGCGATGATGAGGCTGTTTAACGACAATGCAATGTCACATTGAATAGATTCCTTGTTAAGGTTTCACAAAATGAAAAAGATTCCATTGAGTCAAGAGATAGCAGTGATTCCGTTAGTGATGGTGAAAGTCATCCTGCACAATAATCCCCCTCTCTCTTGTCCCCCTCACACCAGCCACGAGGGTACCGGTAATTGGTTTATTTTTCTTTATATTTTGTACAGTATTATATTACAGTACAGTATTGTAATCATTTTTATATGAATATTTTTGGGTTGTGGAACGAATCATCTGAATTTCCATTATTTCCTATGGGGAAATTCGCTTTGATATACAAGCGCTTTGGATTACAAGCATGCTTCCGGAACGAATTATGCTCTTAAACCAAGGTATTACTGTAAATGAGCTGGTGTGTGCCCCCCCTCATCTGCTGTCGCCGCCTCCCCTCCTGACCCCTCACCTTCAGTCCCGGAATCCGTTAGCTCATCTGCGGCCCGGGACCGGCTCGGGAGGGCATCAGGAGGAGAAGGGAGGGAGATCAGCTCCTTGCTGATCTCCCTCCGGGCTGTGAATGCAGAAGTGATGTGTATTACATCACTTCCGCATTCACCTGCTAGTCATCTGGCTGCTATAGCCAGAGAAAAGAAGCTGATGAAGCAGATCTCTGCTTCATCAGCTTCTTTTGGGGTCCCCAGGTGACATTAGGGGTCCTAGAGACCCCTAATGTCTCCATAAACAGGACCTGTCAGTGTACCTGTGCTATTATATAGGGGGATTGTTATCCCCCTATGTGATAGCAATAACAATAAGTGTAAAAATAAATAAATATATATTAAAAAAAAGTAAAAAGAATAAAAGTCACATATAAAAAAAGTTTTTTAAAAAACCCCAAAATGTTTAAGTCCCCCACCCCCACATTTACGTACATATAAAACGTAAAATACGGGTCCGGTGCACCAGCGCGCGAAAACGACAATTGCGCTACACACGTTACATATCGCCGCGAACATCGCAGTGAGGGCAATCATTTTGGGTATTATCGTTTTTTGAGGTTTCCCGCGCGCACATTTTAAGGCTTGACATGTTTAGTGTCTTTTTACTTGACGTGACCCCGTCTTTTATATTTTAGCAAAAAATTGGGTAATAATAAATGTTTTATCATTTAATATAGGGGAAACAGTTTTTTTATTTTTTTTTCTGTAATTTTTCCTTAATATAGTAAAAAATAAAAACCCGCAGTGGTGATTAAATACCACCAAAAGAAAGCTCTATCTTTCCCTAAACAAATTGTATAAAATTAATTTCAGTACAGCGTTGCATGACAGAATAAATGTCAAAGTACTGCAGCGCTGAATACTGAAAAATGGCCTGGATGGGAAGGGGGTTTAACACAGCGGACTTCAAGTGGTTAAAAACGCATTTTAAAAGCGACTGCTTTATATCCCTCTACTGCCCCACCACAGTGCTAATGAAGGTGGCAGTAAAAGGGATTATGAATGCTGAAAATCTTGTTCTGACCGTTCCATTTAACTACACAGAAGGGTGCCACTCATCATTAGGTAGGGATCCAGCTGTGCAGAACACTGTATGGAGTGGACCTTCCATGTTACTCCCAGGAAGGAAGCAATAAGTAACTACAATTTTTACTTTGAAAGTGCACTTATCCTTAAAGTAATCTGACAAAAAATGTATCTGTCCTTTTTGCTCTTCCTCATTGTGCTAAGCTAGCACCCCCTACCAGATGCATACTTACCCTTGCCTCCAGTGTTTGTTTAAATCCCACTGCAGATCTGTGCACCAGCAGCATTGTGCAGTAGCTTTCTATAGGGCTCTATGGTGTGGTCACTTGAAGTAGGAGACTCTTAAATGGACAGCTTCATGGAACGCTATAAGAAACAACTGCAAAAATACATGGAACACAGGTGTAAAAAGTATAAGCCTGATAAAAAAAGACTGCATGACAAACATTGAAGAAAAACACTACACATTGCTTTTAAGCAGCAACCACATCAGATCTGTAAGTTTATTTGCTCAATGTGCGACAGTTACATAATGAATCACATTCATGATATTCCATCACTGAGGAAAACTGCTAGAAATGGTCCGTGTGCCGAAGAAAAAAAAATCTGTACTGAAACACGGAGTTTAAAAATAAAAATTAAAAACATAAAAATGATAATCCACTGATCTGACCTTAAATAATTCACTGCATTACAATGACAAAGAAGCACAAACATAGGCTTATTCAAAAACAGTAATTGTCCTACACATTAATAATTAGAATTTCACCATGACTAACACCAGACATTGAGGTTAGGCTAAAACTGGTGTTTATGATCCCTCCCATTTTCCCATCTACCCAATTTTTTATTTGTTTTTTTAAAATATATTTTATTATTTTTTTTAAGCATTTCTTTTTTTTCTTTTTAGACCAAAATTATATATCTGCATGTCACAATAGCAACATCCATTACAGACCAATAAGTGATTATTACAGCTCTGTAGACGGTCTACCCTTTAACCCTCACTTTCCAATGGAGAAAATAGTTTGCTTCCTAAAAAATAAAGGCAATGAAATTGAAGAGTAGTTGGCTTGCCATAGGAATACATAACATCTACTGTATAATTTCATTTCAAGCTACGTTATAGAAATACAACACTAGCATGCACAATATTGTATTGAGATTAATGCAGCGGTAGTCATTTCATTGGAAAAACTGTTATATAGGCAAGTGCAATAAAAAAAATGCTGCTTAGGACCTACTCATCATTCCTAGCATTGGAGCCCTCTTAAGATCTTTAAGGTTTTATAGCAGCCAAGAAAAGGAAAATAGTTCATGTAATTCCAGTAAATTACTTCCACACTGGACAAGTAAATTTAACACTGATAACTGGATAGACGTTAGGGGGCAGAAAGGAAAACTGTAAATAAACTGACTAGCCAATTCATAATGGGGAGTATTACACTCGTTTAGGTGTCAATTAAATAATGGCTACAATTATACTACTCTAGCATTGCTATAGTAGGCATAACTCACCAAGTCTGAATGAAAGTTGCATCAGCTGAATTTTGTCACATGTCCTGTAATTACCTATGGCTTAAAAATGATATATATGTAATTTAAAAAAAAATCTTCCTATACAGTTTCCTTTTAAATACTTCTAAACTAGAACGTTTAGAACTTTGGTTGCGAGTATCAAACCAGAAAATTACATAAAGCAGAGTTTTCTAAACAGGAGTTCTCCATTTAAATGCATGCCAAAAAGACACAAATGCATTGTAATATGCGAGATTAACTACCCTTTCACATAGCAGATGATGCAATGAATCACCAATAACAAAATTAAAACAATGTTATCCAATTTATATCTTGTTTGGGGATTGCTTCTGAAAGATTAGAGGGAATAATGCCTACATTTTTAATATAGAAACATTTTTATAATTTTTTTGTAATACTAGCTCCATTTAAATCACTAGCCAATGTACTATATCTCTGGTATTGTATAGCCAAAATAAACCAATAACACTATAATGTTTAAAACTCTACAGTTAAATGCTCTCAGATACTCCAACAGTACACTGCAGGCTTTATTTTTGCAAACATGTTTTTAATTTTGAAGTGAAGTGGAGGATGTGGTGGGGGTAATTTGTTTTCACTAATATTTTCTGTGCCCCACAATAATGCAGGACCAAATAAGAATTACCTGAGGCCCTCATGCCTACAACAGATTTTTTTTTTTTAAATTCTAATGCAATTTTAGATTCCTCAAAGGTTGAGAAGGGGCAGCCCTCAACCAAGCTATGGTTGAGCAAGAATAAATTAGCGGGACATATAAACCACCACTATGAAAACGATACTGTTTTATATCTATAAGAACATCTAGATTGCATGAGTCTCGCTAGAGAAGAGATTTAAATTCCATCTGAATTTACTGTGGGCCCACAAGTTCCCAAATCTATACCCAAAGTCACCAAATATTTAAAATGGCAAATTTAATTGAAAGAAGCAATCTCACTGAAAGCCGATTTGCGTAAGGTTAAATTATTCTATTGCTGACAGAGTAAAGATTAAGTTTGTAGGGATATAATTTTAATTGTGGCTGTAAAACTCTGTAATTTATGTCTTGATAGGTGCAGTGCACAAAGTACACAATACACACTAAATAAATATGAATAAAGCATGAAGGGCAAGACGTGCATACAGCTAAAAATATAAATATAAAATAACTTACTGGAACCACAAAACTATTAAAAGGCATTCCATTCAAGTTATTCCTATTCTTAAATCTCTTTCTAAATATGTCTAGCGATAACTTAAAATTAAAAACAGCTCCACTTTTATTAACTACAGAACAGTCCATGTGCCAGTGTTAGGCTGCCATTCCATACTAGCACAGGCAGTCTAACTTTCCACTCGTGGTGTTTTGGCAAAATGTCGAAGAGGCAATCAAAGACAGGTGGTAGGGTCTTCCCTGGGGAGGTTGTCCCTTCCTTGCCCTCCCCCACCCTCAACCCCCCACTTGTGGGAAAAAAAATAAAGACTGCGGTAGTAGCATCAGCGTGCGGCTGCCAGTCCATCAGGAGGTTTTAATTATTTCCTTCGCCACCATCATCGTCTTGCTGATCACTTGTCCAGAGTGTTAGGTTGTCGCGTAGGAGTTGCATGATAAGTGTAGAGTCCTTGTAGGAGTCCTCATTCAGGGTATCCAGCTCTGCAATAGCATCGTCAAAGGCTGTCTTGGCCAGATGGCAAGCCTGTTCAGGGGCATTTTGAATCTCATAGTAGAACACAGAATAGTTGAGTGCCAAGCCCAGCCGTATAGGATGAGTAGGCTGCATGTGCTCCTTGCTGATCTCATGAGCCTCGCTGTAAGCCTTCTCTGAAGATTCAACCACTGCTGCTCTTTTTTCACCAGTGGCGACCTCTGCCAAGTATCGATAATAATCACCTTTCATTTTCAAGTAAAACACTTTGCTTTCATGCTGTGTTTCACTACAATTTTTGATAAGAAAATTATCTAAGAGACTCAACACATCTTGACATACTGTTTCCAATTCTTTTTCAATTTTCTCACGATAGGCACGTACCATTTCTATTTTCTTTTCATTGCCATCAGCAGAGGTTTTCTGCTCAATACTGCTTATGACTCTCCATGAAGAGCGACGGGCTCCAACAACATTCTTGTATGCAACAGACAACAGGTTCCTTTCCTCATTTGAGAGAGGGTCATTCAGCTCCGTCACCTGGCAAAAAATAAAATAATATGACTATCAAATAGTAAACTGATCTTTTAAAACAAATCCACTTTAATAACCTAAAGCATGCGAGCTTAATATGTGTAAAGAGGGATGCCAGTCCAAATGTTTGCGATTTAGGGTGTAAAAAAAAGGATAGACTCTAATGTAGCTGCACATCACAGGACCTATTAAGAACACCATGCTTTTGCAAGTGACGCCATGGTAAACGGTCTATACTATACTTTTATATACTCCAATTTTTAACCCCTAACTTCCCTGCTGTTGTCAACCACTTTGCTTGGTAGGCACACCCCTCTCCCCCTACACGACTGCACTTAAACCTGCCAACTGGCCACTAGAGCACAGAATAGCATTTTTGAAGGGCAGGGAAATGTGCATGGCTGTCTCATACCTGAAGCAATGGGA